CAGTTACTCTTAAGTCAAGAACCAAATGAAGCACCAGAGTATAGATTATGGAGGTATCTGAAGTTGAACTAACTGGAAGCAGGGAACTATACTAATAAAGTTCCTTAAGATAAAAGCACCTGCTTTATTTTGATAGGAAGTATTTTTTTTTATAGAGTTCTATTGTTTTATTCTTATTCTAATTTTATTTTATTCATATACTGAATGGAAGTCATTCAAATTTCACAACAAATGATTTGCAGATTGAATAAAAAAATGATAATGACATTTTAATACATTATTTCATTTGGTTATTCTTTACATCTATATATGGGCAAGTATTTAATCAATGAAAATAATTTTAAACAACTTAACTAACCAAATTACTCTGTTGGACCCTAATATTTAAAATAGCAAAATCCTCAAACTAACACGCACTCTTGTGAATGCACTCTCACATTCATACACTCAAAAACACACATTCATACAACAGTCTGTCTTAGTCTGACTCACACACAACATCCTCTCTCACAGGTTTTTCTAGCAAACCTCCACCACAAGCTTGTCCTTTTATGCTGCTTTTATTTCAAACATTTTAGAGCATGATATAGTCCAGGTTTTTATCACTAAGTTTTTTTTTTTTCATTCAGCAGGTTCCTTGTAAAGATGAACCCAGGGAAGGATCGAAAGTGGAGAAGACCAGATAAAGAAAGACCACATCAAGATCTGCGGTCAGTTCAAAGGTACTTTCACTAATGACCAAGATTTCAGACTATGAATTGATGGAGAAAACTTTGAGTGTCAGATCTTCCTACATCACCTAGCAAAAATTCTTCCCAGTGTCTTGTAGTAGAAGTGATGCAGTCAATCAAGTTTACATTATTTCGTAAATTGCTTTCCGATTTAATAAAAATATATTAACCAAACTTGATTAATGTAACAATGTTGATGAAAAAGGCATGTTTTACTAAAGCTTTTAGCACAAAGGCACCCCCATCTTGGAATATTGCTGTGTCTGACGTCATGGGGTTGGTATGCTGGAAACGTTTTTGAATGAGGTATTTGTATGATTTATACATAGTCTGTCTTAAAGCGTCACTAAATTGTACAGGCATTACAGGTCAAAGCAATCTGTTATTACATTTATCAAAATAAACAATAAGGCTCTTAAAACACTGCTTTGAAAAATGTAGAAAATGTTAAAAAATATTTCAAATACGTCAAATGAAATGAAGTCATTTGTTTTATTATTTTTAAAATATATATTTTTGTAAAGTCATTTGTTTATAATTATGTAAAAAAAAAAATCCAAGTACTATAAACGTTATTTAAGCAACAAATTTGCCAGATTGTAAAGGCAGACACAGAATGAGCAAACAAGAAAAACCGTGTAAAATGTGTAAATAAAAGGCTACATTTTAAATTTTTACATCTTTTCATCATATACGTAAAACCTTCCTAAGCTTGAAAATAAATTTCCTTAAAATAATCTTCCTTTGTTAGTGCAAAGTTCTTTTTATGTAGTCTTGTAATTAAACAATTAAACCATTCAAACAAGTTTAGAATTAAAAAAGGTCCGTAATGAAAATCTGATTTTTTTTTTTCAAATGTAACTAACTTAAATAGTACCATGTACTTTTACTCTGTATTAGTATTATTTACTCAAATTTGTTTTATTTTAGCAATATAATAGTATTTCTAGTCCTTTAATTTAATGTAATTTAATTTTCAGTTCTCTTTCCATCTACGAAAACATAAAAAAATAATAATTTCACAAGCACATTTAAAATAGGTTTAATACTATGAAATATTATAGTAATATTATTTTTTATATATTTTTAACATTGATAGGTAGTTCCTATGGAATGTTTTTATGTATTGCTAAGAATACATTTCAGGTGTTCAATACGTTGCTTGTCAGTCTTAAAAAAAAAAAAATAGGTGCTTAAAGTGCTTTAAATTGTAATCGAGTTTTGCCTGTATGTACTCTGCAAACAGCACCTTTTAATTGTTGTCTTCTCCTATTTTCAGGATGTTTTGCATTGGACTGTTTTTTTTTTTTTTTTGCTTTGACCCTTGCTCGCCCCTGACCTCATTCTTGGACTGCCCTGTTAGATTTTCAGTTTATTTTATTTAATTTTTTATTTTTATTTTTTGGTTCTGGGTAGATGCTAATAAATATTTAGTTGTAATTATTTAAGTAATATGTTTTTGTTAAATATGCGATTTCTGTGTTTGTTCTGTCTACTCGTACTTGTTTATCTTGTTTCTGTAATTATCATTTGTTTATTTGACCCTTGCCTAGCCTCTGATCTTGTTTTTGGATTGCCCTTTATATATCTTTTTAATTATTGGTTCTGGTTATATGGTTATAAAATATTTGTTAATTTAATTAATATGCATTTTATTAAAAAAAATAAATAAATATATATATATATATATATATATATATTTTCTGTGTTTATTCTGTATTTATTTATCTAATTTGTATATACATTTGTGCTTGTATGTTCTTCTTATTCTGTATATTTATTTGTATTTAATTTGTAATAATTCTGTATGCATTTATTTATCTAATTCATATATTTATTTGTATTGCATTGATCAATCTGTTGTTGTTGTGTTTTTTTTTTTGTATGCATCTATTTATATAATTTATATAAATTATATATTTATATTTATCAATTTATATGCTTCCTTTAAAGCATTTTTTTAAATAAAGCAATTTAAACTAAGCATTCCTTTTAATGTGATTTTATATAGCTACCAAATGTAGACGTGAGCCACATCTAACCCAAAATTCAGCCGCAACTGAACCAGATCTGAGAAACTGCATGGGCTGCATCTGGGCCAGATCTGAGAAAGTGCATGGGCCGCAGCTGGGCCAGATTTGAGAAAATGTATGGGCCACATCTGGCCCAGATATGGACCATGCTTTTTCTGAGATATGGCCCAGATCTGGTTCAGTTGTGGCTGACTTTTTGATCCTGATCGTTTTTGCGGCACAAATCAGCACAAACGAATGGTAAAGTTTTTGGGGATTATTTGTTTTTATGGGGTGCCAACTTCACGGAGGTGAATTGTTATCCAAAGTGTTAGCGGTGTTAGTGATGTTGCCTTATAGCAAGAAGGTTGCTGGTTCGAGCCTTGGCTGGGTCAGTTGCCATTACTGTGTGAATTTTGCATGTTCTCCCGATGTTGGCATGGGTTTTCCCTGGGTGCTCTTATTTACCCCACAACTCCAAAGACATGTGCTATATGTGATTTGGGTAAGCTAAAATTGTCTGTAGTGTATGTGTTTGAATGAGAGTGTAAGAGTGGTTCCCATTGATGGGTTGCAGCTGGACGGTCATCTACTGTGTAAAACACAAGCTGCATAATTTGGTGATTCATTCCACTGTGGCGACCCCTGATTAATAAAGGGACTTCGCCAAAAAGAAAATGAATGAATGAAAAAATAAATGCTTAAGTCACCATGACATGTACCCAGCTAGAAATTTTTAGTTCTCTACATGTTCTGAGAATATTACCAAGCAATGTTGCATTACTGTTTTCGGCGGCTATTGTTCCCAGAATGTTCTCTTTAATGGTAGGAAAACATTCTCTAGAAATATTCTAACCACATTCGCTGGTAACAGTTTTAGAACATTATATTCTAACATTCGTATAACATTATTAGCGGCTAGTTTTCTTTAAGTTCCCAGAATGTTCTCTTTTATGGTAGGTAAACATTCTCTAGAAATATTCTACATGTTTGTTAATAACATTGTTTGTTTTCTTTTTTGTTTTTCAAAAATAAAACACTCTCTGTAACTATTTAACATATCTAATTTTACAGTAGCAATGTGGAAAAAAAGTTTAAAGCACTGCATTTTCTTATATTCTAGTGCTCATTGTATAACGTGTAACAAATTAAACAAAAACTAAAAAATCTGGTATATTAAACAAGAATAATTTGCTGACACATAATACTTATTTTCATAATTGTAGGAAATGCTAATTAATTGTCACTTTAAATCTGTGCTTTGCCACTATTTTTTAAACCATTAGGTTTTACTTATTTGCCTGCAATAAGTATTTGAACATGGCATTTTGTATATTTTTTTTAAGTACAGGTTAAAATTAGTATGTTAATTGTCTTTCTGTCTTGATATTGAAAATAAATCATGTTCTTAATAATAATATAATAACATTTCTGTTGTAACTGTGAGAATGTTCTTACTTTGGTTTTATGAAACATTGTGAAAATGTTTGCTAAGAGAACATTGTTTAATCTGATGCCATTTCAATACTCTTAAAATGTTTTTAAAATGTTGCAGATAAAATGTGCTAGCTTTGTTCAGATGTTTTATTGCTAGAACATTCTTCAAAGAACATTCCACATCTCACATCTCAATGATTTTCTTAAGACATTTCTCTAATGTGACTGTGAGAATGTTCTTTCTTTGTTTTAAAAAACATTGTGAAAACGTTTTCTAAGAGAACGTTGTTTAATCTGTTCCCTTACAGATATTTTTAAAACATTGATAGAATGTTCTTGTTCATTGTTTTGGGAAAAACATTTTTTGAATATTCATTGGATATTACATTGAAATGTTTTTTTTTAAACATTAACACAACCTGTAGGGAATGTTAGCCAAAGTTGAGAGAACGTTCCCTTCTAGCTGGGTATTCATTAGTCATCTTGTCAAAACATTCTTACATTTTTCAGTTTAGTATTAAAATTTATTAGCATCATTTTACCATGGCACTACCAGAGTAAGAGTTCAAGGCAGGTTAATATTATTACCTTTATTTCTTACTCTTTTTTTTTTTTTTTTTTTTTCAGAAAAAAAAGTCAAATGCAGGACTGACATCTAGAGGACATTTGATGGAACAGCACTGTTAGGAAGTAAGTACTGATGTAATTTCCCAAAGCTTCTACATTAGATGTAGTCTGGTCTTAACACCCTGATGTCCAGGGATGATCACTTAGCACCGCCTGCTCTTTTAAAGCAACAGCCCACACAACATTTATCATAAATTAAATGCACTAAATTGTAATGATGGTTGCGTGTGGTTTTGCTTGAGTGTAGCGTAGTTGGGTGACTCAAAATGTGGGTCATTCTGAACATCTCCATCTATCTGATTTTTAATTTTATTATGTCAGCTTCAATACTCGGATCAAACACCTGTCAGCTCCAGGGACACTTCAGATTGAATGAAATGTACCATGATGGAGATGTTATACTTGGCGGCCTGTTTGAGGTTGACTTCCTCACAGTGTTCCCAGATCTGGACTTCAAAACAGAGCCAGAACCACCATACTGTGTGCAGTGAGTATGGAGTAAATAATAACATTTGAATATGGCTGAAATAAAAAATCCAAAGTCTGTCTGTCTAGTTGTTTTCATAAAATATCACATAATATTGAATTCAGTATTAACTGCTATTGTGAATTTGCTTAATACTTTTTGCTTGATTTATTGTTAATTGTACTGGTAACAGAATATGTAAATCTATTTTTTTTTGTATTATTATTATATTTTAATTAGATTTGACATGGAAAGCTTCCAGCAGGCTCAAACCATGGCTTTTGCAATTGATGAAATCAATAAAAATCCAAATCTTCTGCCAAACATCACTCTTGGTTACCATCTATTTGACAACTGTGTGATGCTAGGAATGGCATTTCGGGCTGCCATATCCATGGCTAGTGGAACAGAAGAGTTCTTCAATAACATCAACTGCACTGGCCCACCCCCAGTGATTGGAATCGTAGGGGATTCAAGTTCAACTGTTTCCATTGCAATTTCAAGTATTCTAGGGTTGTTTCGAGTACCTATAGTAAGATGGGGTGAAAAAAGCTAATGTAAAATGTAAAAACACATTACATAAAATATATATTATTTCTCTGTCTCATGCCTCTCTCTCTCACCCTCTCTGCCTCTTCATCTCCAATAAATAGGTTAGTCACTATGCCACCTGCTCCTGTTTGAGTGACAGAAAAAAGTACCCCTCTTTCTTCAGAACGATTCCCAGTGATGCCTTCCAGGTCCGTGCTATGGTTCAGATCTTGAAATATTTTAGATGGACTTGGGTTGGTCTCATTTACAGTGATGATGACTATGGAGTTTATGCGGCTCAGTCCTTCCAGCAAGAAATGCAGCTGTTTGGAGGTTGTGTTGCTTTTTCTGAAGTTTTACCCCATGATAACAACCTCGAAGATATTAAGCACATAACCAAAATGATTCAGGCCTCTACAGCTAGAGTGATAGTTGTTTTTTCCACTCCTTCCTTTTTGATACCTTTGATTGATGAGTTGGTGTTGCAGAACATGACAGACAGGCAGTGGATTGCAAGTGAAGCTTGGGCTACCTCTTTTGTACATCACAGTCCACGTTTACTGCCCTTTCTGAAGGGCACACTTGGCATTGCTATTAGGCGTGGGGAGATTCAGGGACTTTATGAATTTCTGCTACGTCTCCAACCTACAAATGATCCAAAAAACAATATGATCAGAATATTCTGGGAAATCATGTTTGGGTGCAATTTTGAAACTGGGGGTAAAAAGAATAGTGGAGATCAAGTCATAAATATATGTACAGGACAGGAGGATCTGAGAACCACAAAAACACCATACACAGAGGTTTCAGAGCTACGAGCGTCTTACAATGTCTATAAGGCAGTTTATGCCCTGGCACATGCGCTTAATGACTTGATGCAGTGTGAGGACGGAAGAGGACCATTCAGTGTAAACAGCTGTGCTGACATAACAAATTTAAAACCCTGGCAGGTAAGAGCCATAGGTACACATTTTCTCCAGGCATGTAAAAGCTGATGTGGAAATGCAATACATGCGCAAAATATTAATTCATATTTCAAATGAACGCAACATCTGTCCTGTTTACAACCTGTACAGCTGGTTCATTACCTACAGAATGTCAACTTTACCACAGACTTTGGGGATCATGTGTCATTTGACAAGAATGGAGATGCTTTGGCCATCTATGATGTCCTGAACTGGCAGCCGAGCTCTGACGGCTCAATAAGGGCCCAAACAGTTGGTGTAGTAAATGAAGAGGTTGCAACAGGGATGGTGCTTACACTGGATGAGGATGCATTATATTGGAACTTTGAGTCAAAAAAAGTAAATAACACTGTATATTAATATAAAGATACTTACAAATTGTTTATTTATAATATAAAAAATATGTAAAGTTATGAAATCAATGAAAATACAAATACCATAATTGACAAGTTGAGAATTATATAAAAGGGACTTTAAAGACAAATTACTAAAAGATTAGGTCTCTTTCAGCCCCCAAGTTCTGTGTGCAGTGAGAGCTGTGCACCAGGCACTAGGCTTGCCACGATTAAGGGCTTGCCGGTTTGCTGTTTTGACTGCCTCCCATGTGGAGATGGTGAGATTTCAAATATAACAGGTAAGGCATTTATTTAAATTTAAAGTACTTTCTTATACAATTCTCAACTTATATCTTTGTCTCACTTACAGGTGCAGTTGAATGCACAATGTGTCCAGATGAGTTTTGGTCTAATTTAGATAAGGACCAATGCATTCCCAAAGAAGTAGAGTTTCTGTCCTATGAGGATCCTCTGGGCATCTCTCTGACCACTGCTTCCCTCCTTGGCACCTGCTTCTGTGTTCTTGTGATGTTTGTATTTGCTGTTCATCGTAATACGCCTATAGTAAGGGCCAACAATTCAGAGCTCAGTTTCCTGCTGCTTTTGTCACTAAAAATGTGTTTCCTGTGTGCGCTGCTGTTTATTGGCCAGCCCCAGTTATGGACGTGTCAGTTAAGACATGTTGTGTTTGGCATAAGCTTTGTCCTATGCATTTCCAGCATTCTGGTCAAGACTATGGTGGTAATAGCTGTATTCAAGTCATCTCGACCAGAGAGCAAAGGTGCTATGAAATGGTTTGGAGCAGTTCAACAAAGATGCACAGTTCTGGTATTGACAGCAATACAGGTTGTGATATGTGCAGTCTGGCTATCAACTGCCTCACCCGCACCCCATAAAAACAACCAATATATCCGCTCTAAAATAGTTTACGAATGTGCCATTGGCTCAGTGGCTGGTTTTTCAATGTTATTAGCATACATTGGACTTTTGGCAGCAGTAAGCTTTCTTTTAGCCTTCCTAGCAAGAAATCTTCCAGATAATTTTAATGAAGCTAAGTTTATTACTTTTAGCATGTTGATCTTCTGTGCTGTATGGATTGCATTTGTTCCAGCATATGTGAGCTCTCCAGGAAAATACGCAGTGGCTGTGGAAATATTTGCCATTTTAGCTTCCAGTTTTGGATTACTGCTGGCCATATTTGCCCCTAAGTGCTACATCATCCTTTTACATCCAGAGAGAAACACTAAAAAGGCAATTATGGGAAAAGAAGCACAAAATACATAGTTTTGAATTGCTATGGTGTGAAATTGCTTAATCGTATTGACACATCCCTATCATTTTTTGTTTAATCTTACTAAAATAAGCACAATGCAAAAACGAGTTTCAAAAATGTTTCAGCTGATTTACACACATATATAAAAAGATCAGATTCTTTAAGCCAATTTTCATTATAGTAAGGGTGTGTTCATGCATGAATAAATCAATATTTATCTACAATTTTTTTTGTTAACACTTGATACCAATTACTACATGTGTGAAAATAAAATGTATAAATAATTTAAATATTCTGAATGTTCTCAGAAACCACCAACTACTCTTAAGTAACTGGTTTATAAATAACGCACCACTTGATTTAGTAGTAAAAATATTGATGACAAAGTATGACAATACAATCATTAATCATGTCCTTGTAAGTCAAGAATATAGCATCTATATCTGTAGTTTTAAACCACTTACTAACATATCAATGTGGAATCAATGCTTAGGAAATTATGAATAAACTATTTGCTAATGCCTAATAAATATGTCATAGTTATTAGTCTTTTTAAAGTTTTTTCAAACTATATTTTTGTTATACTTAGAAGGAGAGAGTGAGCGACAATGTGTGCTGCTGATATGTTTATATACCATCACCACCACTATATTTGGTTACTGTTATTCTATTTAAATCGTCATAAATGCTGTCATTTTTCAATTCAATTTCAGTTGAATTAATGTTTACTTCTACATATGTTTTTGCAATGTAGATTGTGACAAAACAGCTTAATATAGATGAAGTTCTAGTAAATAAAAACTGCTTCAGTTCAGTTGTCAGTTAAAGTTGAGTTTAGTTCAGTATAATGTAAATGTATGCTGAAATCTGAAACACTGAAGAACAACTCCATCAACGCACAGCTCCACTAGTCCCAAACCAAGCAAGACAGTGGTGAGGACCAAACTTTACCAACTGATATAAGTGAAAGAAAAAAAAAACAAACAAGAAAATACAGGCTCATGACCATTACTTTTCTGGTCATACGTCTTGTACAGTGCTGCAAAGAAGGTGCCAGAGGGTATGAATGTAGATTCCGTTCAAATTATAATAACTTTTATTGTAATTATTTCATTTTATTTACACATGCAAGTATGGATTGTTTATATATATAGTATATTAATAATATTATTAATATTAGGTGGATAAAAAAACAACTATATGTCACCGTTTGCTACATAAGCAGCAATACTTTGAACAGGTTAACTCATTCATCTATAAGTAAGTTTACATGAACCATCTTATGTTTAATATTGCTATTAAACTTTTTCTCATGTTGACCTAAATGTGATCAAGCTCATGATTGTAATTTCAACACAGAAAAAAATAATTTCTGTCTACTTAGAATCATTAATTCCATTAAACACTACATGCTGCCACCAGTCTCTTCTCCCTTATCCACAGACAGTAGACTGTGACAGCAGCACAGACAAACCCAACTAAGGCAATGCCAAAAAAGTATAATACAACCAACTGCAGAAGAATTTTGCATTGTCTACCCAGGTGAAAAGAAATTGTACCTAAGTTGTACTTTTTTAGACTTATTAGTATCCTAAGTGGATATTAAACTATAAGCCTATTGTTATTTTATATATAATTAAGATTAATTATAAGCTACTTGAAATATGCAATAATATACTTGTGTTGTGTTTAAATTGACCTACTTCGAGTGCCATTAAAATGTATTTTTAAAAGTGTATTTCATTTAAAAAAAAACAAAAAACATTTAAATTATGTACTTGAAGCATGGTTAAAGTATACTTTAAGTTCAGATAAAGTGTATTTTCAACCCTTTTGGTTGGTGGTTTAAGCCCAGATGAAGTGCATTTTAAGCCCAGTAGAAAAAAATTTTAAGCTTCACATTAATGCGTTTTCAGTAAACTTACTCTATATTTTCAGAGTACTACTAGATGTATTTCGACAATAATTAACATCAACTAAGTGTCACCGACTCGATCATAGTCATTCCCCTCGCTGGCCAGCAGAGGTCATCATCACTGGACTTCTAACATTACGTCATCCACTTAAGCAGGTTGCACACCAGAAGCGCCGCTCGGCACCGCGACACGGCGCGTACATGACAGATTAAAGTATCGCACACCAGACGCGCACATTCGAATGATATTTAACATGAAACTAATCAGATGGCGCTCTGTGGCGCGGCTGAAAAATGAACTGCGTCCTGAGCCGTCGCCGGGCGCCGCCGACAGCCGCCGACTTGCGGCGCCGGTGTGTGTATCCTGATAGAAACCTATGATTAGAATTCTAAAATACGTGGCGCTGCGTGGCGCTGCGCGCCGCCGAGCGTCGTTTCTGGTGTGCGACCTGCTTTACACTGACAGCATGCACACCTGCAGCTCATTCAGATAATGACTCACGCTCACACATATAAGCAACACACACACTATTGGGTTGTGGCTGGAAAGGCATCTGCTGCATAAAACTTGCTGGAATAGTTGGCTGTTCATTCCACTGCGGCAACCCCTGATAAATGAGGGACTTATGCGAAGAAAAATAAATGAATGAATAGTGTATTTTTTAGAACTCAACAAATATCTTTATGGACAGTATACAGAAATTAAATTGAGATTAAAGTTTGTATTTATTTATTTCATACATATGGCTTTTGTGTTTTATAAAATATGAGTTGATAAAAAATATTGGACGTGCATAGATAGATAGCATTTTAATTGAATTTAGTGGGCCGCTCTGGCCCAAAATGCCAGGGCCGATTTTTTTTGCCCCAGTCCAGCCCTGGTTAGCGCAACCAGTAGAATTAGAACACACTCTCAGATATTAAAATGCAATCAACCATTAATGACTGAAAATGAGTCAGGCAAAAAAAAAAGAAAAAATCACTCTGAATATCTTGTTTAAGGAAGAATGTTGGACAGAAAATGGTATGTCTAATATGCCAAGAAAGTTTTGCTGTTTTTAAAGACTACAACCTAGGGGGTTGATCACACCGCATGTGCTTTAATGCTGTAAGAGGCGCCTCTTTTGAATGGTTTACTAATGGTCGTGAGGGTTTTGCACGCTGCGGATGTGTCCTGTAAAGCCCTGCGTACCTCGCTTTTAACCACCTGCTGTGCCTCGTGTTTTGCCGTAGCAGACTCCAGACTTTGACACCCTTGCGAAAAGAGGGGATATATGAAGGACAATATGGTTTATAAAATCAATATTCATACAACACACAGAATGAGCTGCTTCCTGGTTTATAAGGGACAACATGGTTTATAACAGGGGTCACCAATCTCATTCCTGAAGGTCTGGTGCCCTGCAGGGTTTAGATCCAACTTGCCTCAACACACCTGCCTGGGTGTTTCAAGTATACCTAGTAAGACCTTGATTAGCTTGTTCAGGCGTGTTTAGTTTGAGTTGGAGCTAAAATCTGCAGGACACCGGACCTCCTGGAACAAGTTTGGTGATCCCTCTGGTTACTAAAGTAACCCTCGTTCGCCGAGGAGGGGAACGGAAATGCTATAAGGTGATTTTAATCCACTTATGGGGATTAGTTTCAGAAAGCCAATTGTCTGAAAGAGTATATAATGGGCCAATGAAATGCCAAATGAGTTGGCAGTGCAAGCTTGTGCACGTGGCTTATTGCAATTAACTCATATAAGCATATAAGCACAGGAAAAGCAAGGAAAGGCTATCCTTTTAAGCTGAAGAGATTGATACTTACAGCTAGGGAACAACCATTATGGCCATGCTATATAGCATTTCCGTTCCCCGAGGGTTACTTTAGTAACCAGAGTGTTCCCCTTCGGATGGGAAACTTCAATGCTATAAGTGGATTTTAATCCAGGTATGGGGAAATGTCTGGAAAACGCCATAATGACTGCACCCTACCTTCCCCTCCGATGAGAGGATAGCCAGGCATAGCGTGAGCGCTCCTGCATCAAAGAGGCGCGGTCTTCCAACGTGACCCCTGGCCCTAACTTATCCCACTTCAAAAAAAGTTTTACGGATTTAGATATATTGTTTGGCAGTCGCAAGCGTCTAGATAATTCTAGGAAAATACGACAGTACGTTGGGAAAGCATGCAGTCCCGATAGGGAGGACGCTGCGGAGGCCACCTGCTACCCAATGGGGCAAAATATATGGACTAGCCCTGAGAAGGGGGAGTACGCATGTAATAAGATGGTTAGTGGAGAGGGAAGACACGGGTCCGCCCGTGAGGGGGGACTGCACCGTGGCTGAATAAGCATATGGGATCGCCTAGTGGGAATCACGCATAGCATGCACCTATACCCAAAACGCGGGCTTACCAGCAGGCAGACATACAATGTAATAGGCCAGCAAGTGACTCCTCCGCTGAGTCAGTGCTGGGGGCCTCGGAGGAATCTGCAGGGCTCACCTAACGGGGAACTTTACTGACAGATGAAAAAGCGCACATATCTCTGTGTTAGGGAGAATGGTGCAGAAAGCGTGTTTCAACACCTTAACTGAGTTGTTTCCTCAATCACCAAAGGGTTACCTAATACCCTTGAGGAAACCGGCTCCACTCGCAGATTGTAAAACCTTGCAAATGTATTAGGTGTCACTCAGCCCGTAGTTCTACAGAGGTCTGTTAGAGAGGCACCGCATGCACACGCCCAATCGGATGCAATGCTCCGAGTGGAATGCGCACGCACTCTCGGGGGACACTGGTAAGTAAGGGAGATGGCATCCACTATCACGTGGGCCAACCTCTGTTTCGATATGGCACTTCCCTTCTGCCGACCGCCATAACAAAGAGCTGCTCAGATGATCTAAAGTTCTGAGTGCAGTCCAGATAAATACGCAAAGCGCGAACTGGACAAAATAAGAAAAGGGCTGGGTCTGCCTCCTCCGCGGGCAGCGCTTGCAGGTTCACTACCTGGTCTTTAAACGGTGTGGTGGAAACCTTGGTCACATATCCTGGGCGGGGTCTCAGGACAACGTGAGAGTAATCCGGCCCAAATTCCAGGCACGAGTCACTGACCGAAAATGCCTCCAGCGAGAAACACTGCCAACAGCTTCAGGTGATTTATATGCCAGTGCAACTGGGTTCCTTTCCACAGGCCCGTGGCTGCATGCCCGCAGCACACCAGCCCGTGCTGGAGACATCTGTTGAAACAACATGACTGGACGCCTGTACTAGAGACACACCGGCCTGTAGGAACGAGTGGTCGTTCCAAGGGCTGAGGGCGCGGCGACACAGCGCAGTAACAGTGACTCAGTGTGTGCCCGCGTGCCATGCGCGTCTGGAGACTCGATTGGGAAGCCAGTGCTGGAGTGGTCTCATATAGAGTAATCCGAGCAGCGCAACAGCGGCTGCGGATGCCATATGCCCCAGGAGCCTCTGAAATAATTTCAGTGGGACCACTATTTTGCTGTCGAGCTCTCTCAGACAGTTAAGCATCAGCTGTCATGGTGACCAAGTCCAGCTCCAGCGCGAGAAAAGAGATCCTCTGCACGGGGGCGAGTTTGCTTTTTTTTTTCGGTTGACCTGAAGCCCCAACAGGTGGAGGTGCCGGAGCACCTTGTCTCTGTGCATAATCAATTGCTCCCGAGAGTGGGCTAAAATCAGCCTGTCGTCGAGATAATTGAGTATGCGGATGCCCGCGAGCCGAAGGGACGCTATGGCACCCTCCACGAGCTTGGTGAAGACCCGCGGAGACAGAGAGAGCCCAAAGGGAAGGACTTTGTACTCCCAAGCTTGACCTTCGAACGCAAACCGCAGAAACTGATGGTGGCAAGAAAGAATGGAGACATGGAAAACGCGTCCTTCAAGTCTATTGCTGCAAACCAATCTCGAGGACGAACGTACCAGAGGATGCGCTTCTGCGTGAGCATTCTGAATGGCAGCTTGTGCAGACATCGGTTCAAAACACGCAGATCTAGGATTAGCCGTGACCCACCGCTCTTCTTGGGCACGATGAAGTACGGGCTGTAAAACCCGCTCTCCATATCGGCTGGAGGGACCGGCTCGATTGCATCCTTCGCTAGGAAGACAGCAATCTCCTCTCGCAAGACAGCAGGCTGACCCTGGTGAAATACACACCCGTGAACTTTGGGGGCCATTTCGCAAACTGAATTGCATAGCCGAGTCGGATTATGCGTTTGAGCCACCGCGAAGGGCTGGTCCACGCTAACCATGCAGGCAGAGCTCTCGTTAATGTACTTATCTCTACAATCGCTCATGTACGAGCAGTGGGGCAGCGCGGAGTAGGTGTGCTTATCCTGTAAGCGCGAGGGTCCCACGGAAGAGCTGGAGGCGAGAGATTTGCTCTCACTCCGCACCCAAACTCCGTAGGAGAGG